AAAGAGTCCATATTTTTCTATGACCCACCCACAACACAAACAGCATAACACCAAAAAGGTATGAAGGAACAAAGCTAAAAACCTCCCATTTTCCAGCCATTTTTTGGTAGCTTTCTTTCTTATCGAAGTATTCTGCAGTCTAAGTCTTCAAACCATTATTTGCAAGACAGCAAACACAGTCTGCAAACAAAGAATCAAGCATGTGATACTGGACCTTCATGTGTTTATGCAACCATGTTTTTAAAAAGCACATTTCTGTGGGAATGACATAACCAGTGCTTTTGTGGATTCTTTGACAGAACTGTTCAGTTCCTTATCTATAAATGGTCTGAACTGAGATTCTGCTGAGTGTGATCATAATGGGTTGAAAATGCAGGTCAGACATAATTCCTACATTGTTATATATTTGATCAACTTGCTAGTTTAGAAATAAGCACAGAAAATTAGATGGCATTTTTCAAACCTTCCAGTAAATACATTAATTGCAGTTCTCTGAAACTGGTGCAATTTGTCCCCACAGCCTTAAGTAGACAGCTCATTTGCTTTCTAGTGTCCAACTCCCCATAAACACATTAAGAGAATTTTGTGACCTGAGTGATTTACTCACCCCACAGAGAGCTCAGCAGTATTGATCCCAGCTCAATGCTTTATCTGTCTGCTGTGGAAACTATTTGCTCCACCTGTCTCACTAACCCCTGATACAAAAGATCACAGCAATGTGCAAAAGAATATGATGGACATAGGGTTAGAGAACTTCTCCACACACATAGGAAATAGAAAGAGAAATGATACAACGTTGAAATGGTTATGTCAGCATTCTCACTCTGCTATTTAGAGCTGTATTTGTTCTTGACCATTTGTAAATACATCTGATGTTACTGTAGACAAGATTCTCTTTGTATCAATATTTACAGCAGAGAATCACTTATACAGCTTCAACTGTAGAAAATCCCAAAATAAAGAAATGCACATAAAAAGCATGGCTATGGTGTTTTGTTTTGAAAAGTAACTTAAAACATTTTAAAGTTCGGTTTTAGCTTTCAAAAGCCACCTGTTATATACATCTGCAAAGGCCTAATACAAGAACTAGTGCAGTCAATGGATAAGGCTGTATTTGAGAAAACTGGATTAAAACTGTAGGTCAACCATAGGCTTATACATTGGTAAGTTGCCACAACAAAATGAAACTTGCAGGTGTGAAACCATTACCGGATAAGCCTTACAGAAAGTTCATTCCCCCATATCTCAAGCAACAGCTTTCAGTGGAAGTCACCCTTTGTGAAATGTGAATACTTTACACAGTTGATGTGAGCTGAATATTCACTGCAAGCAGTGCAATGTGATTTTTTTTGTATTTCCAAAGTACACAAGGCAGAACACAGATACTTATTTTAATCAAAGAGTACCTTGCCATAGTACGCATGTAGATAAAAGTTAAGCTGATCATCTATCATCATATCAAGTGGCAAAGGAAATGTTCTCACTTTTCTCCTGTGATACTTAGTAACCCTTGCACATGGTAAAAAGTATTCTTGAAGGAGGATTTTATATACCCACTGTTATGACTTCTTCAGCAAGAGCTGGTAAAAATCTGGCCTCTGTTCTGACCTACTGTGTAAGCTGCCCGATACAATGCAACTGAAACCTGGCAAATATTTCTCTAGAATACAAGACACAAAAGCATTATAACTATATACGCTGACATCTTGTAATATCAAAAGCTAACTGATCTCACTAAAATCTTTCTTTGCAGAAAATGGAAATGCAATTAGTATCAGAAACTGTCAAAGATCATGGGTGAATTTCTGGAAATGGCTCCAAGAAAGTGCTGACATCTTGTAATATCAAAAGCTAACTGATCTCACTAAAATCTTTCTTTGCAGAAACTGGAAGTGCAATTAGTATCAGAAACTGTCAAAGATCATGGGTGAATTTCTGGAAATGGCTCCAAGAAAGTTAGGAACATCTAAGCTTTCAACTCACCATTTTAATATTGCCAGTAATTACATCAGGTTGAAACCTGTACATGATAAACTGGGGAAGTCTCAATGTAATGATTTCAGCAAAGAAATGTACTGACTCTGGTTAAGAACATCACTACAGTAAAAACAATGGCAAACAGGAACTTGGCACCACATTTACAGAGTAAAGGCATGCTGTTGATATATTTTAGAAATCTCTGAAGAGAAAAAGCCTGGTAAATGCAGAACAAGTTGTACTGTCTACAAAACTCCCCACTGGTTTAAGACCAAACACACATACAAATAACTATGTGGTTGATTAAGTAGCTTTGTAGCAGCACAGATGCCCTCTTCCAGTTTGGAATTTTACAGTTTTCTTGTCTAACTGGAAGCCACTTCAGGCATTTCACAGGAGGAACAGAGTTCTGCCTGCTACAACAGTAGGACACTCAGTGGTCTGGTAATTGGCATAAACCAGGCTAACCTTCCCATCTCATAAGCCAGAAAAACCTGTTACCCTGCTGCAGAGAATCTCTTTTTTGAGGAAAAAAGCGTTACAGCACATGAAGCAGAATGGTAACAAATTATACATCAGAAGAAGCCATAGCATTAGCCATATGGATCCTAAGGCTCTTTTAAGTAGTTGCAGTAATATCAAGTTCTGACCACACTAAGTGTTAAAAACAAAAGGCTCCTTCTAAGAGGAATACTTTCTGCATGAGCTGGTCATACCATGTGCATAGTTAAGTGATTTTAAAAACAACAAAATGTCATTTGCAAAGAAATACAATTTAGTCAAAATATAATTTTGATGAAAAACCTTAAAAACAGACTACTGGTGGGTTATTAAAAGAAAGCAAGCTACATATTGAAGTTCTGGGACATGAACTTCGTAACAGCTGTACACATTTGAGATTATGCAATCCAAGTGACGCTTGGGTGGTCAAAAAATCAAAACAGTAGTTCCTTTTTTAAGTCTAACTTCAGCATCCCATATCAATAAAAAGGTCCCTAGTACAGAAGATTGTGCTAAAGAATGCAAGGATTTGCATGCTGTTTTCATTCCCCGGTCCTGTTCATGCTTGCAGCTGTCCCATGAGGCAGCAAATAAACAGTCCAGTTCTTAAAACACCACATCTCGGAAATCTGAAAGAAAAATTCCTCATTAATTTAGTAATTCATTTTATAGCTAAACATATGGTTAATGCAGTGAATGCTAAAACTTAGAGCAGCTTCCAAAGCTTATAACATTACCTTTCAGTGTCGTCCTCTCCTTTTAGTAGAGTCCACATTCCTTCAGGTTGTTTTTAATTATAACATCTGTAACAGCATCAAAAACAAACTGCACATTCTTGGTATCAGTGGCACAGGTGAAATGGGTATAAATTTCCTTGGTGTCTTTTCTTCGGTTCAGATCTTCAAACTGACACTGAATGTATGCAGCTGCCTCCTCGTACGTGTTAGAGCCTAGGAGATAATGTAAGAATGTCAGAAGCCTGCTGGATCAGACCAGGGGTCCGTCTAGTACAGCATCTCGTTTCACACAGTGACTAACCATTGTCCTGAATCTTCAATTTAATTGTGACCCCTGCATTCTAATATGGAAAAGGGGGGGAAAGTTTTCCTGTATTTGCTCAAAAGGAAGACAACCCTGTAACTGTAACTTATATGAAAGTGTAACCTGCCCCTCTTTTTTTGGGGGGGGGGGGAAAGGAGATGGCACTCCGAGGGGAAAAAAATACTATTCTTGCATTTGAGTAAATAGTGTGCCTACTTTCTCCAACCCAGGCATAGTTCTATAAATGTCTAGCATATTCCCCCTTAGCCATCTTTTCTCCTGAACAATACTGTTTGTTTTATTTTCTATTTTCCCTAATAATCCAAGCATGGAGTTTGCCTTTTTCACCCTTGTTGTACACAAAGTCAACATTTCATCAAACTACCCAGAACCCCAAAATCTTTCTCTCTTGGTCTTGGCTGGGGCAGACCCTATCAGCATATATTTAAAGTTGAGATTTTTTGTTCTGATGTAC